GATGACTCACAGAGCATGTAAACCATTCTAGACCTTTTAGCGGTTGAACCAGCTAAGTAAGGAATGTACTTTGCTCCGTCAAAGTGTAAAGTGTTGCTTCAGGATCGGCACTCAACTGTTCCCGTGCTAACCAGTGAAGGTACACAGCTTGAACAAGTGGATAGCTTTGTATACCTTGGCAGCTGTGCGTCAGCTGGTGGTACCATTAGAAGGGAAGTTTCGCTTCGCATCGCCAAAGCTCGGTCGGCGTTTGTCAACCTGCAGTACTTGTGGCGTCACCGGGATATCTCCCAATTGGAAAATGGTCGTGTTTACAATGCAACCGTGCGGGCAGTGTTGCCATATGGAAGCGAGTCGGCTGGTTCGCGTAGACGATATGCGCCGGCTCTGTCTTCGACAACGGGTGCTTGAGGATGATTGCTAGTGTGTGGTGGCAACAACACATTTGCAACGGTGAAGTCAGATGTCGTGTCTTAGGGAATGTGAGTATTCCCTTCAGCAAGCTGATTTTGCTGCGCCAGTTAAGATGGCTCGGTCATGTCCTGCGTATGTCAGCTGAACGTTTGCCCTATCGCGCTCTGTTTGCTGGAGGAGACCACGTGGTGGTCCACCATCCACCTGGCGACAGCAACTGAAATGGTTGACTTCACGTCTTGCCACCATTGGATCCACATGTCTACCTGGTTGGGGACCAAAGGAGGAGTGCCGATGTTTGGGAACAATTCAGGATATGTCTCGTAATCGAAACCAGTGGAAGATTTGTGTATATAACCGCTTAGATTTAGATACTTAATGCTTAACGATTAAAAACGACAAAAAAATTAAAAAAATGGCGTGTGCAAAATAACAAAAAATGCTCCGTTACTTTTTATATTGCGGCACAATAGCTGAAGTGTGCTGCTCACCTTCAGATAATGTGCCATGATGCTGATACGGTGTTCAACCTGTCTTCTTTCAATGATTTCCATGGTTGTTTGGCTCTACGTCTATTTGATAGACTGCTGACTATACTACTACTACGCCCTCTTTTCAATACCCCAATTCCAGGTCTTCCCCTATCTTACTTCCATGGTCAGTTGTCTTCTAGGTTTGAGCAACACGCAATCGCAGGGCGTCGCTCCAGTCCAGTCGACATGTCTATGTTCAACCAAGCGGACAACCCTAATTCATGTTTTTACTTGAAGCCCCAGATCTTCGCCCAGACTGGTATGCCTCAAGGTACGCAATCCCTTGCCGACCGGTCGATAGGCAGCACTTGCCCGAACATCAGAGACCCTACCGATCGACAGATGCTGCCTGTCGAAGACTCACCTGCAAGCTCTGCGCACACCCTGCGATCTCCATCGTGCGACCTTGGAATTACCTACTCATTGCGCTCGTCCGGATATAACGTAGCTTCAAATGACGGTCAAACTGGTGTGAACATCGTTCAGAGCCTCGGAAGTGAAGCGGTCATGATCGATCGAATCCCAACTAACAGCCGGATGTGCGCCGTCACGGTAGGTTGGGCGTTCAAAGCTTCGAAGTTGCATGGGGTAAATAGGTGCCTGTTTATCGCTGCTTGCTGTTTTATAGATGCGTCCCGTCGCCTAGTTATACGTACTCGCTGAAACTCCGCACTTAAAACGGAGTCATAATCAACTGTACGCTCAGTCAGCCCTAGGAACTGCACCCACACATCTTTCCCCTTTCGACACGGTGGGAGCCCGCTAGGATCCGTTAGCAGCTACATTAGGTGCAGTTCACACCACTACAACGCCCAGTGGGTGTGTGGCTGCGCCGAGTACACCCAGATGGCCATGTAGCTGCAGGAGAGCACAGGTTTAGAAATCACACATGTTGCACAGCCGAGACCCTCACAATCCAGCCAAAACAACAACACGCCTCGGAACACTGACTTACCGGAATTCAACCGGGTGAGACTAATAATGATCAATGTGGACGAGAGCGACCACCCATCACTAGCCCACAGAGCCAATGCCGATCCCTACCAATGGCAATCCTTGCAGCAAAACTTTGGACTACTGTCCACCGCCTCGCCCTCTCTCTGCCCTTTAGGAGCACCCCACTCACCAGGTGACAAATGTCCAAGACCATTAAGGGTCACTCGGGAAGGCGCTGGCGACGTCGAGGAAATGTTCCTGGCATCAGTCTGCTTTAACAAACTGAACTCGAAAATCCGCGCCCAGCCGCTCACTGGGTAGTGAGGGAGGCGAGGCGTATATTAGCAGTACCAACCCCAACCCCGGCAGAGTGCAGTATACTCATACACGGGGTCCCAGAACTCCACACAACTGGCCCGGTCGAAGCCTCCCACTACGGTGTCCAGCACTGGAACTACATTCGAACGCATTTGAACCTATCAGTGGACAAGTGTGGGGTGTGGTCTGTCCACGGGCTCCCGAGGCTCACCACTTGCAGATACCGGCGCCCAAACGGCTCAGGGTCATTCTTTTCACTCCCGAGATGCGCCAGACTGTGCTACAACGGTGATACGAGCTTCATGGCAACTTTCACTACGAAGTCAGGATACATCCGGACAAACCGCGTGAGCAGCGCAAGCAAATTCAAAGACAGAATTCCACGCCATATAGCCAAACTACACCCCAAGTATTGCGCAATTTGAGCAACCAAACCCAAACTGCTCTACCAACTGCACCTTGTTACCAATGGTCGCCCGCAGTTCCCGTTAGCACGTGGAGCTGCTTGTATACTAAAGTTCTATCACTGCGGAACAAGGTGCCAGAAATCGCTGATCTTGCGTGAGACACAAGCTAAAGCCATTTGTGTAACGGAAACCTGGTTCTGCCCAGATATTGTCGACGTCGAGGTAGCTATTCCAGTATACTTGCTTCGAAACGACCGTGAACGCGGCAGTGGCGGAGGCGTAGCTGTGTACGTATCAGACCGCCTCACATGCGTCCCTCGCTAAGCTCCGGAATTGCTCTCTTTCTAAATCCCTCTGGATTCGTCTCTGCAGTTCCGGTGCGACCAGTCTCACTCTTGGAGTGGCCTATCGCCCGCCCTTAGCTCCTCTAGAATGGCTGTAGCGTTGGAATGCAGCCCTTTGAGCAGTTGTTTCTAACTTAAGTTCCCGCCTACTCGTCGCAGGGGACTTCAATTTCCCGGAGATCGACCTTGCCACTAGCCAGGCTTACGGCTATGAGTTCCTCGCCAGTGTTCTAGAGCACGGCCTAACCGAACACGTATAGCAGTTCACTCCGTGGCGAGACGGGCAAAACCCGTCGAAACGCGACTTGCTGCTCATTAACGAGCCACATCTAACTAAGAAGGTAAAACTGAACGCCCCACTCGGTGCCAGTGATCTCGTGGTTATCAGTTTTCGGGTGGTGGCAAATGTCGTTCAACGGTGAGTCTAGCCACTCTTACTGCTCCTGACTGTGGTACTTTACACGCTTTTTACATGTCATCCTAAGTGGCTAGGATCCGAGTAGCTTACACAGTACCGTTGGAGGCACTTTGGAGGGGACAATCTGATGATGGAGTAAAACAGATTAGGTTTAAGATGAGCCGGAATGGCACATGATCCCCTAGATAGGATACGCGTTAGTGGCCGCACCACGATTTGTTAACCTATCGCATGTGGTGGAAAAACGAAGTGGCATTCCAGTATTCGTCCCTTTACCTCAGATTTGTCGTAACCCATGAAGTTCTTTATGCTATATTCTTTTTGAGCCACGTTAAACACCAGTACCTGGATCTTTTTGTAGATGTGAGCTAGAAAAACATGATCAAAATATGACCGAAATCCAATCAGGCAGTGAACCCGATGATGCCTTTGATTCCCAACCGCCTGTTCCTCATCTGATATCGGTGAATATAGCTATCCATATTTGGCGTATAGTAGCAAGCGTACCGAGTAGCCTAGGCGGCTTGGGGAAAAGCATGCGTGCGGCGAAAGTCGGGGCTGCAATATGCGTATCCCAGTGAGGAAGCCAAGGAATCGAAGATAGACCAGACTAGTAAAATAATCTAAGCTAACTGCGCTTGTCATCGAATTGATGTGGCCTGATGATTGTCAGTCCATCGGTTTGAAGTATTCTTTACAAAAGAGAGAACGATATGAGGTTCCTGTGCACAAAGTGAGAAACCGCATTTGACGTTTCAAGAGAATACTACACACCCACATGCTGAGGGTCCAGATGCTTCTGCTGTAGCTTACGGTACACCGCACCTTCAGTAAACGCGTCATTCATACTATAAACGGGAGGGGACGGAGCTGACGCGGAGTCTTCTACTCTATACAACCCAGTGAAACAAATAAAATGACACTATGAAGCCTTAGATAGATCCCAGTTATTACGTGGTTTGCAGTCCCAAAGAAAACACCATTTATGCGGATTGGGTTAGAGTAACAGTAGTTCGAGATTAAGCCGACTCATGAAATAGAAGTCACAATAATTATTGTCTACAATTGGCACGGAAAGCGAACGCTTTGGAGCGATGCAAAGTTCAGGACGTAATGAGAAACTACCGGCCACGATCCGAATTCCATACTGCCAGAAGGAAGCGAAACTGCGCACCAGATTTCGCGCGGATTCCGGAAACATCACCCTCTATTGCGAAGTTATCAATATCCACCACCTCAAGCGAGAATTGTGCGTACAAAGACCGTTTGTACGTCCTTTACTTCCACTGTGGCCTACAACCAGCGGCGATTTTCCCCAGTACACAATTTGGCACCCTCAAGGACCCCGCGATCTATTGATTAGTTCCTGTTGGGTCCAAACATTTTGATAATACGCAGTCGAATCCGGGACATTTGGCACTTTGTCGTCATGTAATGTTTGAGTATGATGAGAATTACCGAAAAGAATTTGCTCAGATTCTGCCTCGATGCATTCTAATAAAATAGTATATGCGATAGCTCTTGGTGGGCGCAAGGTCATAATTAAACAAAAATAGGCACTGTCGAGGACTGTTCGAAGTATATTAGTCGCTAATCATTTAGAAAATTTTCCGGAAACTTCAAAACTCACATTGTATAGTTGTTGTTCACCGAATTGAGTAAATGAGATACGGAAAACAAACGGAGCGCAAAAATTCAAAATCGGCGCGCAAAATGGTGCGCGACCCATTTTAACACGCGTCGCCGTACTAGTCGTATTCTAAGCTGTCGAACACTTTATTCATGAGAATAAACGAATAAGCAATCAGTAGCGGGCGATTGGCAGATTTCTTGGTGTTCAACCTCATCAGCTAGGTTATTGGTGCATCCACCGTCACCCAGCCCTCGGTTCATTGGGCCATGCTCACATGCACATATCCGTGATAGGTCGAGGCTGAAGTCACAACCGATCGCTGGGAGTCTCGTTCGTGCGTGATGTACGTGCAGCAAAGCCGCGCTTTAAGTGAATTGGACGGTTCAATCGTCATTGTTCAACGGACCATAGGCCAATGAGGACTTTCGTCTTGAGAGCCTTCAGCCTGCATTCGTCGATGACCAATCATGATACTAAGCAGTATGGCACAGAGGACAGGAATTCCGTCTCAAGCGTACGATGCCACACCGAACGGACCTGAAAGCCTATTGGCATAAATACTTTTCACCACTGCATTCGGTTTGGTTTGATTGGACTAGGTTCAGTGATCAAGTGATAGGCCGCGTAGCGTTTCTAATCTCCGAAGCCTTGAAGCAACCATGTCTGTTTGGCTGCAGGTGACACAATGTGTCACTAGATGCATCGTATTTCGTCCTTGCGCAGTCACTGACACTACTTACGTGGGCAACCGTCTAGGACTACCGTAACCGGTGCGTAAACCTAGCCTCTGCTTTATAGCATCCAAAATGATTTTAACAAGGCATTCCATCGCTCGAGGCGGCAGGTTGACGGCCAAACATCCACTTGAATGTGCTTGTGTGGGTTACTGCTCCGCGGCATTGAATGGGAAACCTACCTTTCATGATGCTCGAGATGGCAGAAATGTTGGGAACCTCTTCCTCATACCTTGTGCTAGACTGAACGCTTTTGATAGTGAGTACGTGTTATGGATCCTGAACTAATCATTGTTTTGTGGTGGTACGAAATGAGAGCAGAACTCTGCGGTGCGTGGCGGTCTATTCCAAAGGTTAACATGTCACACGTGTCTGTTCATATTCAGCCAGTTCTCACATATCCACCTGATCGCGTTAAAGTCCAATTGTAGGGTGTTCGCTTTACACTTCCCATGTTCACGACAATTTAGTGCCGACGAAAGAGTCCCACTTCCATGCTCACCAAGTAAGTCACCAGCTTGCCTAGATGAGGCTGGTATTAGATTTGTCGTCGGGTTTTCGGTATGATTTAACGCCAACCACTCGTCCTTCATATTTCTCGGTGTTGTGCCTTCATCCAGGGTATGCGCGATGTACGGTAGGACGCCCGTCGTTACTGAGCCACGATGGACTGCCAAAGAATTGGGCAGTCTGAATGTTCGGTCCTCTTCCGAATCTGGCTAAAAATGAACGCAGATAGACGCTAGTGTGTAGGTGCACTTCTATCCAACTAACGTACGGTGTGACAGCGGGCATTTTAAGCATTCCATCCGCCTGCACAAACTCATGCACTCTGGTCCCTTCAATGACGGTGCCTAGTTGGGGTCAGAAATGATTGTAAACCCCTTGGATTCCAAACAACACGAAGTTGGCTCGCCGATCACTACGGTGGTAGAACCACACGCGATGGAACCTAGTGAATTGTGACTCCGTTTGATGGGTCGTTTCTGAGTTGTGTGCTGGATACATTAGGTCAACCGTTTCCTCACTGTAGTGGTAAAATGCCTATCGTTTCGATCAATCTGACTACCTCCATAACCACATGGTGAGTAAATAGGCAGGCTGTTTAGACAACCTGAAAGTAGTCTGTACTTGAAAAGCAAAGAAACCGTCAGTTGATTGACTGACGCAATGGTGTGTTACTTGTGCGCAGACCAGCGATTAACGGTAGCTTCTTGACGGGGATGGTTGTTAAGAGATCAAGCTTTGCGCGCTGGACAGAGGAACCGCTCCTGTTTGTCACCCGACGCGGATGCTATGATCTTATTTCACACGCCCGCAGATCTATTGAGATTCAACAGTTTAACGTTACCTTAAATGTGGTTAACTTGTGAAAGCGCATCTGCTTGGAGGCATCATTTCCTGACACTGGTGTGAGTGTAATGCGACACGCAATCCCAACGTGTGGACTGCGATTCGCATCACAGTGATCCTTGGTCAGTTCGATCATTAAGACTGTAAGTTGATAGCGCAGTCTTTCTCTAGTTCTTAGCAAACCACTACATATCGCTACCCATAATAACACGTGAATTGCTCCGATGTAGTTTACCGGCTTTTGAGATGTTTTTCATCTAGCTCAGTAAGCTTGAAAATAGATTAGCATTTTGTTGAGTCACGTGGTATGGTGACAGTGTGTTCCACGTGCATTGTTAATTCCGACGAAGATGGGCGGCACCAAAACCAAAACACCACGCAGCTTCAGGAATCACAGACTAAGAGAGTTTTTTGCATGTAGTTTATGGCATTGAGAGGGTGCAACAATTGTTGACCGAATTTATCGGGGTTGACATATCGTTTTGTGATTAGCCTGGCAGATGGTTAATATAGTCACCAATAAGTACTAAATACCTGGAACGTTGGCTAGTATAGAGTTACCAAATGCGTGCCTCAAACTACGTCGCGTTATATACGTTTGACTAATTCTTGAGCAGTTCGAACATTGGGACGACAGGAGAAACATATAGAGGTTGGACGTTTGCTGGCTCTTAACATTGCAACACATTCATGTTTCATCTAGGTCTTCAGGCAGAGAACCGAATAAAGAACCCGGATCCCAGGTGTGTCGCCTTTTTAGCAATTTGGAGATTCCCCGGTCTGCCTGTGTAAAATTCTAACTAAAATTATTATTTCATGGTACACTTAGGCGAGCGGTGCGGATTATTCAACTAGTTGTTGAGTTCGATTGCTTGAGTCGAGCACAGCTTGTCGCTCGTTTCGGTTGCAACATGCGATCCTAACAGCGTCAATGGTGTCGATTTTTATAGCTAGGCCAACAGGGAAACTTTTACTGTATAAAATAATATTCCCTGCAACTCGATTTGCCTTTTAGAATCGCTATCCGGACTCCCTCTAATTTGGTGATCCAGACTTAAGAAGAATCCCAACGCCAGATATTTCGATTTTTTTGCCAGTAAGTCCTTTCCATTTAGTTGTTCTTCCTGTTTGTTTTTGTCTACGGTAGCGGTATTTTGTGCCCATTTTTATCATGTGTTCTGTAGAACGTAAGTAGTGTCTCCTGTCATCCGTGTCGTATCTCTCGGTGGCACAGTAGCTGAGGTACTTCCCACATCTAACGTGTATAATGATGATGATGATGATGTCGTATCTCTCTGCCCCATCTTTGGGGGACATTGATCCCGTTTTGTGACTCGCTCACGTACAAGCCGAATTTTATAATCACGTTATTAATACAGACTAGGTTAAGTACAGTAAGCTCATACCATATCTCCCTCAGCAGATATCTATGCAGGTTCGAGACGTCATCATTACTCGGACAGAAAACCACTATTCGGTGTTTAACAAGACTACGATTAAGCGTGTCATGCTCTCTGAGGAGGTCCGTCTGGAGAAACTTTTCAGAGATCTGCGGTTGGGCGACAAACTGCTCTCAATTCTGTTTCGAGAGATGCAGAAACTCCACGGTTCATCAAACATGGTCAAGGGTATATTGCGGAGAAAAAAAACTTGAATCTTGACATGTCCCGCTGGATGATCGGTTAGGTGTGAGCAAAATGTAGATAAAATAGCAACATAAAATATCGAACAACCGCAAATTACGAACTTGTCGGTTACAGTGTTCCCGTCTGAGCAGTTCATACTTGGTTTTATATATTGTCCCAGGTTATTATCTGCGGTTTCCGGGCAAAAATGGAGGTGGGTTGCTTTCTTACGTTTTTCTGCAGTTTATATGGGTCATTTGGGTTACAAGACTTTACTCCACGAATTATGGTCACAGCGGCTACCGGTGAACACGCAGGCGGTGCTTGCCAGTTTGAGTTCAGTGTCGCTCACCTAACTAGGCAGTCTAGTAGATCGAGCCATCAGACAATCACAACCACATGCTGACGCCCGCATGATCAATACCATCACGTCCAAAAGCACCTGCTTATAATAAACGATAGAAGCCCTACAAGCGCAAGTTGCGACACTTAGTCTCCAAGTCCAACAGCTCACTATAAGCCATCGCTGTCATAGCCAATCGGAATCTCCCTCAAGATGCTTCAAATCTGCCAACACAAAACCTAACTGTTTGTACCACCGTTTTGGCGACGCATCCCGGAAACACGTTACACCTTGCAACGTCGCCGAGAAGCAGGGAAAATTCTCGGCCCTCCCGTAATGGCAGCAACTGACGCGACCGACCGAAACCAAATTCGCCTCATCCGTGTTAGGGAGTTAACTTCCGGTACCGAGTTCCTAGTGGACACTGGAGCCAAAGTTAGCTTTATACTCCATTGTTCAGTCGATGTGGCCTCACACTCGCTAACCAGATGACGTGCCGCCAATGGCACATCAACTGTGACTTTCAGTGAGAAGCTGCTCACGCACAACTTAGTCCTCCGGCAGATCTTTCGTTGGGCTATCATTTTAGTAGCCGTGCTTTCCGCTGTCATAGACATAGGCTTTTCTCAACATTTTGATCTTATCGTGGATGCTAACAGACAAATAAAAAATACTAATAATAATGTGTCAGCTGTACGCCGTGACGGCGCTTCGCTGCCGCGCGACCACCATCAGTCGCGCGCCAGCTGAGTATACCGCGAGGACGCCCACCCCTACGCGGATTCGAACCGGTGACCTTATGGTTGCAAAGCAAACGTGCAGACCACTCGGCCACCGGCCACCGACTATCAGACAGCTCAGCGTTATCGGGACAAGCACCAACGTGGCCGCGATCACTTCTATTCTTGTCCTCCCTCAAGCTTCACAGCCTTTTATGAACTTTTTCAACCAGCATCTTAAGTTCGTTCGCATTCATAAAGATTTATCTCCCGTTACGCTAAACGTCATGCACCATATCTGCTCTAAGAGTCCGCCCGTTTCGGCTCGCCCTCGCAGACTAGCCCCATGCAAGATCAAAGCCGGTCAAACGGAATTCGAGCAAATGCTCGAACTTGGATTAATCCACCCGTCCAAGAGTCCATGGGCATAGTCATTGCACATGCTACCAAAGAAATCCGACGATTGGCATCCCTGTAGTGACTACAGGACACTCAACAAAGTTACCGGCCCGGATAAACGCCCCATACCCCATATGCACGACTTAACCTCAGCTTTAGCTGGTTACTCGATCTTTAGCAAGATTGACCTCATGTGCGACTACCGTCGGTACCTGTGGCGCCAGACCATGTACTTAAAACAGCCGTCATTACAACGTTTGGCCTTTCTGAGTACCTCAGAATGCCTTTCGGCCTTAGCAATGCCGCTCAAACTTTTCTGAGCTCATTCATGATGTAACACGCGAAACTGAAGCCGT